AGATGGAATTTTGCTCTTGTTACCCAGGCTGGAGTCCAATGGCGTGATCTCGGCTCACTGCAACTTCCACCTCCTGGGTTCAAACGATTCTCCTGCCTCAGCCTCCCAAGTAGCTGGGATTACAGGCAGGTGCCACCACGCCCAGGCTGGTCTCGAAATCCTGACCTCAGGTGATCTACCCACCTCGGCTTCCCAAAGTGCTGAGATTACAGGCGTGAGCCATGACGCCCGGCCAGACTTAATATATTAATGGACTTAAAACACTTTTAATAGAGGCATTTTAACTTTTCTGAGTATTTGTTTCATTATTCTTCAAGTGAAAATTCAAAACGTTTATTACAGTAATAAAATATGCATCAAATATTATTTTATTATGTGTTATCTGTCTTTGCTAAAAATAATTTCAAAAAATATTTTGGAATTTAATCTTAGCTGAAATCACTAGTTGCCCTACTAATTCAGCATTAAAAGTACAATTGATTCTGTTTCCTTCCTCCATCATAGTAAACCATGGAGAAATACACTACCTGTGGACCAAGAGTGAAGGTAAGCAGCTATGTTGCCTTTTTGGCATCTTTTGGTAAATTTCATGAATATATTGTCTATAGACTTTACAGGATTATGTCACCATTTTTCTCATTTGAAAATACAGAACACAGTAAATGATCTCATTCAAGTTCCAAAAGAAATAATTTCAGTTCAGAAGGTGATCTAATACAGAAGATAAATTTTGTTGTGATGATTTGTGTTTTTAAGAGAGGTACCCAGAATTTAAATTTAATTTAATTATGTTGTGCTATTTATAATATAGAAAATATGGGCACATTTGAAGACCGTATTAGAATTCAATTACACTAAAGACTAAGCTACAAAACTTCTCTGTGTTCTAAATTCATAATCATTGTATTAAAATAAAACATCATACCCATACGTGTCCCCAGTAAGTATCAATCCTTATTAACGTTTTTAAATGAGATGTCTGCCTTAGTATGCCAGTTGACAAGGTGTCAGTCATTTGACCTTATGTAATTCTCTAATTTTCAGCTATCATTTTCTACTATTGCTCTGTGTGTGTGTGTGTGTGTGTGTGCTCTCTAAAAACCTTTCCTTCTCTTTCAATCTCTTGTTTTTTAACTTTTTATGGAGAAGGCATTATGAAGTTATCTTCAGGAAATGCAGAAACACTTTTACAAAAACTTTCTACATTTGAACTAAAGGGGGCAGTGCTTCCTTTCATAAAGATAAATAACTTTATAGCTACGCACAGGGTTGTTCATAAGTAAAATGAAGGGTCTGTGGAAGGACATAAATAAAGCATAGGAGGTTGAAGTCAGATTTGCAGCTTTCTGTGCAAGAGACAAGACAACCTGCGTCTTCACAGGAGGAATGGGCGTGCTCCTGGGGGCATCACTGCTGATGCTGTGGCTTCAGCCAGACTGTGAGTTGCGCATGGGAGGTTTGAATATAGTAGGAAAAGCTACAAGGAACACTAAAAGGCTGGGAGATAATTGGAGAAGTTTTGTTTTGTTTTCCGAATCATGATGGTTTCCTGTGGGGACATTAAAAAATAAAACTGAAAATCTGTTATTCTCTTTCCAAACAGGGGTAAATAGTCAACAGAAGAATGATGACCAGCAAGTGAAGCAAAATCCACCATCCCTGAGTGTCCAGGAAGGAGGAATTTCTATTCTGAACTGTGACTATACTAACAGCATGTTTGATTATTTCCTATGGTACAAAAAATACCCTGCTGAAGGTCCTACATTCCTGATATCTATACGTTCCATTAAGGATAAAAATGAAGAGGGAAGATTCACAGTCTTCTTAAACAAAAGTGCCAAGCACCTCTCTCTGCACATTGGGGCCTCCCAGCCTGGAGACTCTGCAGTGTACCTCTGTGTAGCAAGCGCACAGTGCTCTGCAGGCACCTGCAGCCCATACTCAAACCTGCTTTGGGGACTCAGACTGGGAGGCACACAGACTCTCTTCCATTTACACACGGCAGTGTGAGAAATTATGCTTTGAAGTAAGTGAGGCAAGTTGAGCTTAAAAAAAGACTGATACATGACAAGCCTTACAAATAAGAAAGTTCCCTGAGTTTTAGAGTGTTTAAGAGTCTAACCACTCTCCTTTTCTACTTTCAGAAAGAGGTTGCTGATTTAGCTAAAGCATAAATCTCTGGTGATGCTTTGTTTGTGCTAGCTTCTGGAATGAGGGTGCCCAGTCTCCCTTGTATACTAGGGGCCAAGAATGTGTGTTTGGAACGGGAAAACCAAGGTCACACTGTAGGTTCTTTCAGTGATGAACATTTCCTGAGATGTCGTTTCTTTTAGTTTTTCTCAGTGTACAGGCATTTCTGAGCAAAGAATTGCATATGTGAGTACTAACCTATGTATATCTGCATATCTATAAATATTTCTATATGTAGCGTAACCATCAGTATCTATATTAAGTTAAACATTCATTCTTATCGATGTCTCCAATGCTAAATCATTACCACATGGATCACACTAGCCTCCTCCCCTTGCTTATCCATAAATTCCCACTACAGGGGTGCACAGCCTGGCTCTCACTGTTAACAAAAAGTTATTCAGTAATACTTGTTACAACGTGGTGAGGCAGAATTTATTTAGGACCACCATGATAGGTACAGAGACCACTGCAACAGGACTTTGCAGTGAGGGAGAAGAATCGAACTCAACTCCGAATACAGCATAAACAAGTGGAGATTTCTAGCCAAGGGGCAGATTAGGGGTCAGTGAATGGGAAATTACTAAGAGGAAACATCAGAACCAAGGGATATTCTGACTAGACCGGCCAAACAGGATTCTTGCTGAAGACAGGTCAGGGTAATCAGACATCAATCACCTGGGTGATGAAAGAGGATGAGGAACCCAGTTAGATATGGAGTGTAATCAGGTATCAAGCGGAGGATGGCGAGGGTAGCAGGGGAGGGTGTGGTTCTTGCTAAACTGACCTGGAAGGGATCTTGTTAAGACTAGATTTTACAAGAAAATGCAGAGATGACCTTAGGAGAAACTTCAAAGCCTGACTAAAGTTTGGTCAAGCAAATAATTTTTGTCATCACCACCCACTATTCATTTACATCATAGTCCAATTCCATTAAACATGTATAGTGGTATCAGAATTGTTACTTGTAGCTCCATGAGAAAGAATTTTATCACTTAAAGCACATTGCTGTATAATGGTAATAATGTCTAGATTATGTTGAACTTCTATTATTCCACCTGTTTTGTATGTATTACAATAACTAATTCTCCTAATAATTATTTAAGACAACTATTAGAATAATCCATGTTGTAGTAGAGAAAACAGGCTGTGGGAGTTCAGGGGTTTGCTCAGTATTACCAACTTTGTGAGAAAATAGAGTTCATGGTCACTCATGCTCCAAACCACCAAGTATGGGCCCGTCTTACAGAAGCTATTAACAAGTCATGCTTTTGAAACGCTAGCAATTTTTAAAATTCTTTTCTTTCTTTTTTTCTTTTTTTTTTTTTTTTTTTTTTTTTTTTTTTTTTGAGACAGAGTTTCGTTCTGTCCCCCAGGCTGGAGTGCAGTGGCGCAATCTCGGCTCACTGCAAGCTCCGCCTCCCGGGTTCACGCCATTCTCCTGCCTCAGCCTCCCGAGTAGCTGGGACCACAGGCGCCCGCCACAGCGTCGGCTAAATTTTTGTATTTTTAGTAGAGACGGGGTTTCACCGTGTTAGCCAGGATGGTCTCGATCTCCTGACGTCGTGATCCGCCCGCCTCGGCCTCCCAAAGTGCTGGGATTATAGGAGTGAGCCACCGCGCCCGGCCTAATTTTTAAAATTCTTAGCATGCATTTCTTCATCATTGACCTAGAGAAGAGTGTGATTATCACTCGTAGAAAATCAAAAACTGAAATTATGGTTTTGTATGTATATTGTATTTGTAGGTAAATGATTAGAACTTGTTCCTCATTGGCTGATTTTCTGAAGCTGAAGATCTTTCCAGTGAGAAGATACAGAAATTCAGGCTGCTTCCCAAGAAGCATGCAGAAGCCTCTGTAAATCTCATCACTTATGGCTTAATCTGAACAGTGACTTGAGGAACAGTGATTTCAGGAATGCTGAAGACATTTTTGATCAGAATAGGAGTGATGCATAGCTTGGCTTAGCTTGGTTCATCTAGGGATCCTCATGGGGTTGGTTTAACTATGAAGTAAAATCTATAGGTTGATTAATTCTCTCATATTTAATTCTGTATTCCTGAACATGGATGTAAAGCTAACTCAGTGTGAATTGGATTTATTATCCCTCCATATCCGGGAGCACCAATATCACATGCAGTATTTTTTCTGTTGTTTTTATGGCTTATATTGGTATAGGCAGGAAAAATTCCAAGATCCTTTTCGTAATGCATGTAGATGAGAATGAAAAGCAGGAAGGAATATTAAACATCACTCTTCATACTTAGGGTGTTCCATGCACATCTCGGGTTCCCACTCTAGAGCCTCAGCTACTCTGAATGGATAGTCTGCTGTGCATATTCATTGCTCATAGGCATCCAGAGCCTGTTCCCAAATTCAGAGCTGTAGCCACAGATCCCAGCAAAAGTGCAGGCACATGACAGTTGCTGCTGTCTTCTAGCAGGGTGTAGAGAAATGTAGCTATGATGAATCATTTCATTTCAGTTTCAAAAAATATGGAAATTCAGGTGAATAATCAGTCCAGTTACTATATATCCCTGCTCTTAACAAAACTATTTCAAATACCTTAAGATAATAAATCAGCTTTTCTTATTTTCGGATATATTTAACATGATTTATAAATTATTGAAATCCATTATAAATTTCTGTTACAATGGACATTTTTCACTCTAACTGCTGTTACATTTACCCCATTTCATGTCTTGCATAATGGGGAGGGAATATATTAATGCTGTCTTTATCTTTCTAAAGCAACATAGAATCATACCAGAAAAAGGAATACTGCATCCAGTGTCATCCCTGCCTTTTTGTTCAAGCTCTTCAGCCTGCTTCAACTTCCACATTTCATTCATTGCCACAGTTATCTATTTATATTCTTTTCTTATCTAGTATATTTGGGAAACAGCATTGGAAAAAGCTACTTTCTAGCATTGTTCTAGCCATAAGTGTGTTATATCTTCTAGAGCAAGTGAATCAACTTCTTAACATTTTATATCAGGACCTTCATCTGTAATGCAAGGACAATGATTTCCAGCTAACATTGTTCTCAAGTTTTATTCATCTTCCTCAATTAGCAATTGTTAACTGGGTGCCTGCTGAGTTCTGCATAAATGTTACATGCTGGGAAAAAAAGAGCTATGGAAAAACACATAATATCTTCTTTCACTAAATGTGTAGTCTAATTAGTTATGTAGGCAACTAATCAAACAGAGTAAAGTGAAATGAGGCCAACCTTGGGAAAGCAAAGGGAGGTATGAAGGCATATGGAAAGTCCCACCTCCATCTTAGCCTTAGAGTTGAGTCAGGGGCAGCCTGGAGTATGTCTTGCCTATGCTGAGACCTAAAGAGTTAGTAGGAGTCAATCAAGTTTAAAGACAGAGAAGGTAGAGAAGATAGAAACAGCATGCACAAGGCGACACAGAACATAATGAGCCTGAGGACTAAAAGCCAGAATGACGCTATAATTAAAATTATATATGTCATAAAATGTTCAAACTACCACTGCAAAGTAGTTGTACCTTAATTCTCAGTTTTATAAATGAGTAACCATAATATTTGTGGGGTTACCAAATATGTTTTCTATTTACTTGAGATTTTACTTAATAAGGTTATTCATTTGATACCTAATATGTGTCTTAGACTCGAAAACAATAGATGCAAATGAGAAGAATAAGGCATTGTTTCTGCCTTCAGAGAACATGTAATATTGCAGAGTATATTACAATATCGTATAATAAAAGCTATCATAGGAGAAGCATAGAATATGACCATCTAACAGTGGCATTTAACTTGGAAACTTGAATGTAAGGGAAAACCACCTATGGGAGGTAGTATCTAAGTTAAGATTTGTAAAACAGTTAGCCAAAAATGGAGTCAGAGAAAGGGTATCATAGAAAAAGATAAATAGAATGTACAAAGACATGAAGTCAATATTTAGTTTAAGAGAATGACATTAAACTAATTCAGAATGGCCAGAGCATACAACTCACAATGTATATCGGTAAATATAAAACTAAAGCAATAAGCAGAAACCACTTTGTGAAAATAATTAAAAGCCATTATGAGATGTTCGTATATTACATTATCTTGAAGACAATGATGAGCACTCGAAGAAATCTGCACAAGTAAATAGTATCATGAAATGTCACCATTTGAAAGATTACTCTGAGTTCACATACTTATATATTATATCCATGTGTGGGTATGTATATAAAATATATATGTAAAGTAAAAAAAATATATATAATAAATTTTTCCTTGATACTTCCTTTTTCTCTTAATTCTGAAGTAATTCTTTCTGTAAAACAGTATATGGATAGGCCCTTCTTATAGCAAGAAAAAAGCCTATCCTGGATGAAAACTTAAGAAAAGCCAAAATCCACAGTTTAGTCAACATTCCTCAGTCTGGCCACAGGGGAGAGCTGTTTAAAAAGTATTCTAGACAGATGCATTTAGCTCTGTGCAGTTAAACTGTTGTGATGTGTCTCTGATTGGTTGCCCCCAAAGTTACAATATCCTGGAAACAATTACAACAGACCTTATTCTGAGTTCAAAGCAACTCTTACTAAGGAAGCCCATTCAGAAGCTGACTGGACATTCTGGCAGGCGGAGGATGGAGACTCTCCTGAAAGTGCTTTCAGGCACCTTGTTGTGGCAGTTGACCTGTGAGTACACGATTCAGTCTGGGAGAGGTTGTGATATGACACCATCTTCATGACAATAGCTTTCTGTCTTGGGAAGGGCCCTTTTAAGAACCAGACCTAAGAAGCAAGGAAAATGTACTGTAATTATGTGGTGATGCTTAATGTTTTAAATAAGG